GGGGTTCAGGCAGCACAGGGGCTGCCCCAGGGTGTGACAACAGCTCCCTGTGGGGCTGTGGTGTCAGCTGTGGACATAGGGAGGGCTTTCCCAGTCTCAGTCCTGACTGACAGCACAGCCCAGGCGCTGCTTCCACAGTTTGCTGGGGCAGAAATTTTTTATTCTTTCCATTAAGGTCCAAAGAACGGAACTGAACCTGGAGACATTTACTGGCAGTTGGAGGAAACGCTGACTGAGGTCCTGGGTGCCCTGAAGGAGATACCTGATGGTGGGTACAGGTGGAACTGGGAGCTGGGCTTGGGATCCCGCTGAGGAACAGGGACTTGGAACTGAACCGATGCACTTTCTCTCTGAAGTTGTGGAGCTTGAGACTGTGGAGGTACCTCAGGAAGGCCATCAGGAGGTGCCATTCCCTGGGGAAAAGCCCGGGGCTGCTCAGCCAACAGGAGGGTCAGGTAATTGCTGTCCCTCAGCCACCCGAGGGGGCAGGGTGTGGCTGTGCCAGGGACACGCTCTGGGACCCTCTGGGCATGTGGGAGATGCTCCCTGCCCCCTACACCCTGTTCCCAGGGATTTCACAGCTTTGCCCTCTTGGGACCCTGCTCAGCAGATGATGGGAAATGTGACTCTGGATCCTGGAACATCCCTCCCGCAGCACCTGCATCCCAGAGCGTGCCAGGAGGTCCTGGAGGCCCTGGCATGACAGAAGGGATCCCTCCTGGGATCTGAGGGAGTGCAGGGGGACCCTGCACGATCCTCCTGCAGCCTCTGTGCCTGAGCCATGCTGAGGTTTTACCCTTCCCTGACCCTTGGCAGTGCCAGCAGCCCCCATGCCAGGCTAGGGGAATGTTTCCCAAAGTATCCAAGCAGGGAGCAGCCCTGCCAGGGGCCACAGCCTGGAGAGTAAAGGCCAGAAAATTGGGGGCAGGCAAGCACTGCTTGTGCTGCAGAAAGGGAAACCACGTACTCGGTGTCTGGCCCCCTGAGTCCTGGGCAGGAGGACAACGTGTCCCCCAGGGTCAGAGATCTCCATCCAGGCAGCGCCAGCCAAGCCTGGAAAGGGGAGGTAGGAGAGCACAGGAGACAGTGTGGGCAAATGTGAAGGATGCCCAGGAACAGGGAGCGAGGGCAGACACTGGGAGGACTGGATTGTGGCCACTGCAGAGTGTGAGCAAGGCTGAGAGGAGAGAGAGAGGCTCAGAGAGCACAGACTTGCAAGGCCTTCGGGAGTTCCCTTGGCTTCCTGTGATGGGAACAGCTCCAGGCGTGGAGAAAAACATACAGCAATTGGCAGGATTTCATTGTATGGACCATATAATAACTGTAAGGTCCATAGAATAAAATCCTGCCAATTGCTGTATGTTTTTCTCCACGCCTGGAGCTGTTCCCATCACAGCTTCCACTGCAGCCACCCAGGATATCCCCTCCTTCAGAGATGGCAACAAAGTGGGAAAGGCCATTTCCTGGCAGTGTCAGCCCTCCCGTGGGATTGCCAGGGGTGAGCAGGACACACTGACGGGCACAGTCGTTCCTCCAGGTGTGGACAAGAGGAGACTGGGCAGGACCAACCCAAAGGCTGTGGCGGGCAGGGCACACAGAGGAGCAGTGGATGCTGAGACCAGCAGGAAGGTCCTTCTCAGCAACTGCCTGGTGGCCGTGGCCGGGGTGCTCACGGTGCTCTTCCTCTGCCTGGTGGTCCCTGCCTGGGCAAAGGACATCCAGGGGTGAGTGAGGGGTGGGGGCAAAGGATGTGCTGTGGGGGGCAGGGGTTGCCAAACAAGTCTTGGGTGGCTGTGCCAGCTGTGGGGTGTCTCTGTGCAGCTCTGGGTGCCCGGTTGGTCACTGCCCAAACTCAGCGCAGATTTGGGCTGGGAGCTGATGCCCTGTTTGCTGCCTGGAGCTCTCCGTGCCCACAGCTGCCCTGTGCAGCTGGGTGCCCACATCCCACAGGGTGCCCACATCACACGGGTTACCCACACCCCAGGAGTGCCCACATCCCACAGGGTGCCCACATCACACG